GAGAGAGGAGGATGAAAATGAGAAAAGACAGGAAGGGGGGGAAGGAGAGAGGAAGAGAAAAGGGAGAATGCAAGAGAGAGAAAAGAGGAAGAGAGGAAGTGAAAAGGGAGAAAGTAGGAGAGAAAATTGGAGGGGAGGGGAGGGGGAGGAAGTGAGAGAGAGGAAGAGCTGGGAGGAAAGAGGGCATGGAAATGGAGAATAAGGGAGAGAGAAGAAAGGTAGCAGAAAAGGTATAATAAGGAAGAGAAAATAAAGAAGAGGGTGATGAGAGAACAAGTGAGATTATAGAATGATAGAAAATGGAGACAGAATGAAACAGAGAGGAATAGCAGGAAAAAAAAGAAGAAACAAAGGTAAAACAAAAAAGTATGAAAATAAAATCCAGTAATATACCAACCTGAAGAGCATCAAGTGCGCATTTATTCCTGATATTGGTGCCATCGCGATTTCTCGGGTGGAAGAAATCGTGGCCTTGGTAGCTCCCAATAGCCCGACGACGATAATCCCCAACGTTGAATACTGTAAAAATTGTTGTTTCTTTTTAACATACAAATACAGGTAATCTACTCGTATTTTGGTGTATTTTGTACTGCATTATTTTTCCATCCATTATCACAATACATACATCAACAAAACTGAAGTGGCACTCTATAAGCTTATCTGTTTATCAATAATTTTTCATCTTTTTAATCTCTCTTTTTTTTTTTACAGAAATCCTTAAGCAATGACAGTTAACATTCCTAATACAGTAAGAGAGGCAGATATCACTGATAAAACAGAGATAAATTCTAAAAAATTATCTATAGACAATAAAACAAATACATGTACATGCATAAATGAATAAAATAGAGTAAAAATTTATTTCATCCGCTTCCTTTCTTATTTCAACAAAACGCTGTTTTTTTTCTTTCTTTCTTTTTTTCTTTTTTTTCTTTTTTTTTTTTTGAAAACACACAATCTGCTACCATAACTCTCAAATCAAATAATGCAATTCTAAGGACGAGTGGCTTAATAATCAAACGTACCATGAAAACCTAATTAGAACAACAATAAGACCAAGACTCCTTAACACACCTTTCGTGGGAAGGCCGACCCAGTTAAGGTATCTTGCCAACTTCATGGCAATGTAAGTCTTGCCACGAGCAGGCAGACCCACCATGGCGACAACGTGGGGGATGTTGACATAGTCCATTCCAGCTTCTGTGGGAGAAAAAAAGATATCAATATCTCAATAATGGACAATTTCATTACTACTACTATAAAACAATGGAGAGAATTTGTAAATTCTTCATCAATCTCTCTTCCTGCACATGACATATATAATAGTACTGATAGAGGCACAACTAAAAAATTAAACACTAATTGTCTGACCATTGCTACCACTGATAATAAATAATAACAATAAAACCAGTCGCAGCCACCACAATTATAATCAATGACATGAACAAATGTACAATAAAACGACAGTAACAATAACAAAACCTGTGCACATTCCACCGATACCAGTCTATGCATCACTAGAGCAGACTGTCAAATTTTGTGCCAAGCCTTGGGGGTTCTGGGGATTTAAAAATAGGCAGTACCATTTTTGACCTCTTATTCCACGAAGGAAACCAGTTTTAAGCATTCATTTCCATCGTAAATGTGGGGCATAAAACAAAATAGAATAACACAGAAAAGGGGGAAGATGAGTGGAAGGAAGATAAGAGGACAGGGAGAAGAAGTGAAGAGGAAGGGGGAGAAGGGAAGGGAAAGGAAGAGGAGGGGAAGGGCAAGGAAGGGATGAGGCAAGAGAAAGAATGAAGGAAAAAGAAAAGGGAAGAGGTGATGGAGGGTGTAAGGGAAGGGAGAAGAGAAAGGGAAGGGAGGAAGGGAATGAGGATGGAGGAGGAAGATGGGACAGAAGAGAGGAGGGTTAATGAGAGAGAAGGAAAAAAAAAAAGTAGGACTAAGGAGGAGGAGGAGGAAGTAGGATGAGGTGTGATGAGGGAAAAAAAGGAAAAGAGACTCAAAAAAG